ATTTCGTCCTAAAAATTCATATGAAAACACCGCGCAGCGCGAAAACTCTTAAGTTTTTCTTAACCGCCGTTACATAAGGTTCTAGCAGTGTTGTTTTATCTTCATTGCTAAGAGCTCAAAACTCCGCTGTAGTGTTAAAGAGTCTTTCAACTATATGCTATCTTACTCAGCACTACTTGTAGTACTTGAGGTATCCAAAAAGTTTGACACCGACTGTACATCAAGAATCATGCTGCATACAGAGACAATTATAGGCGCTAATTTACATAGAAAAGATCACAGAAGATATTTTTAAACGGTTGAGTTTGGACTGATCAGTTCTTAACTTTAGTAAGTTTGTATCCCAAAAGGGAATTATAATTTTTTGTAAAAACTTCCATATTACTTTTTACTTTTTTCCGTTTCCTTAGCGTAATATTAGCTTTATATTGTTATCGTATACTTGAACCAAAAATGTAACTAAGCATAAGATTGTGAAACCGGTTGCAAAGAAGTAACCATGGAGTTTCTTTCCATGAGAAACTTTATCTTATGTCTATTTCAAATTAAAGATTCACGATTTTAGCTTTGTAGTTAAGACAACCAGAATATGTCTGTATTCTTAATTTGGAATAGAAAACCTTTTTATTTACCAACGAAACAAGTGACAATAAAGTGTATGCTTAATGGCAATTAAGTCCGCTATTCAGAAAGTATTGTGAGAAGAAAAAATAAATAATAATAAGTATTAGCGAGAGGCTACAGTCCCATGCCCAAAATTTTTTATAAAATTTATAAGAATGGGAAATATGATTTTTGTAAGAGATAAAAAAAACTTAAAAAACAACACAACCAATTTGATTGATTACCTTCTCTGTTGTGTTACTGATTGTCAGTATAAATTTTACATGGAACATTTTTCAGATTCATTGGAAAATCTGGAAAATTGCAATCGTGCGTATTCAGGGCAGGGTTGCTGCTTTTAAATACTTGTATTCTCTGAAAGAAGCAATTCTCTCTAGGAGGTACTCACTGAAAATTTTCGTCATATTTCTCATTATCTTCTACCAATGGCTTGGATAAAAAGAAGCCTGAGTTAATCCAGACTACAATCTATCACAGTCTCAAATTTAATTTAAAACGGTGAAAATTACACTTTATTAATTTCAGCAGCATTTACATCAAAGATTTTTTTATATGACCGCAAAGAAACAGACGTGGTCACCCAAATAGTAAGAGATCGGCGCCGCCAACTTAGAGAAGTTACGAGTGCGCTGCCGGTTTTTGAGGATTGGAGTTTTGGAGATTTAGGTGCTGGGGGAGGTGAAAAAGGTAAGCTAATTATTACTAAGTAACTTAACTCACTTACTAACTTCACTCACATAGCGAAATCCAAGGTTGTGGTTGCTTCACGCTGGTTTTCTGTGTGGCTGTGGTATCCATCTCTTTTTTTTTTATATGTTATAGGTCGGCAAACGAGCAGACGGATTACCTGATGGTAAGCAATCAGCGCCGCCCATGGACACTCGCAACGGAGGAGTTACGAGTGCGTTGCCGACGTTTCAGAGATTAGGGATTTGGAGATTTAGGGATTGAGGAGGGATTGGGGAAGGGGAAGGATTGGGCCTCCGGTAACCTCACTCACACGGCGAAACACAACGCAGTGGTTATTTCACGCCGGTTTTCTGTGAGGCCGTGGTATCACTCCGGTCGAGCCGACCCATTCGTGCCGAAGCATGGCTCTCTCTCACTTCAAAACAAATAACAAACAATCAGTTTACAATATTATATACTAGAATATAAATACGTGTGTGCCGGCAGAGTTGAGAGTTATACATAATGTATAATAATAATAATATGGTGGAGATTTTCTCGTATAGTTTGGGTTCCAAAATAATACGATTTCTGTCCAGCTGCGAAGTACAATACAGTTTGCCAGGACACGCGTGACGAAGGTACGGGCCTATGCAAATGCTAAGCGATTTTCTCAACAATAGATTTCCATTTACGGTTAAGAAAAATTTTGAATACTAAGCGTGTATTTGGTTATGAAGTTTGTATATTTTTTTTTTTGGCATTTTCCATTTATTACCATTATAATAATTGCGAAAGTAGTGTGATTTTCTGATATTTCTATTTTTAACTGACTTCAAAAAAAAGGAGGAGGTTCTCAATTCGATTGTACTTTTTTGATTATATGATATTTTGAATACTTATCTGATAAAAGTTCCACCATGTTAACTTAAGTTAAACAAATCCGTTACTCTATTGCGAGTAAAAATCAATACTTTTATTGAAATGTGAAATGAGAGTCACGTCAAAGAATGTCGAACATAATATTGTTTTTGTTTATACATATAATGTGAAATAGCAAATTCATTTCTATTTTAATAATATCGTCCATTTATGAGCGAAAATCGGATTATATATCAATGATTAATTTTATTGAAAAATCTAAAAAACATGAAACTATTCATATACGAAACTGTTTAGTTTTTCCAATCACAACCAACAGATTTTACATAAGGTACATGCATTGCGTAGGAACAAAAAATAACAATGAATTTATTTAGCTTGATAGATCAGGTAAAATTTACTTGATAGAATTGTTTTTGTTGCTCACTTTTTTAACGAAAGAAATTCCATTCCAGTATACATGGCTCAGCGGCATGGTGGCCCGAAGATAAGGCACCAAACTTCTCTTACATGAGGGTTCAAAACCTGGCAAGTACCATTGTGACTTTCTCCAAATCATATGTTCTTTCTATAATTATATAAACCACCAACTTCAACGAAGGAAAACATGTTGAGGAAACCTGGACTTAAAATATCTAGTTATAAGTTGAAATCGCCAATCTGCCTTGAGGAAACGTGGTGATTATTGCTCAAACCTTCTCCGTGTGAGAAGAGGCCTTTATTCAGCAGTGGGGAGTTGTAGGCTGATTATGTGATCACATGTAACAACATTATGTTGGGTGAAGATTTATTTACACAACGAATTCTTCATAGCTGGTGTATACCATGAATGGTACAGCTCATTCATACTTCTTTGGAGATTAAAAGGTTCAGTTTCTAACTTAGAAGTGTTACAAATAACCTCAATAAACTAGTCAGTATGACAGATTGTATAGAAAATGTCAAACATTAGCTTTACATTCCGTAATTTCAAACGCCATATTGCACGGAAACTGCATTTTATCATACTGTAGCTTTTTGAACGGATTTGTCGTCTAGTTTCTGGTGTATGGTACAATTTGTGAGATTCAAACTTTTCTGTAAAAAAGTACTTGCTCAGAGGTTAGCGCCAGCTTCTCATGCATGAGGGTGCGGGTTTAAAACCTGATGAGTATCAATGTGAATATTTCCGAGTTATATGAACGTTCTATGATAAATAATTACAGAAAGTATTGAACCCAGTGTCAAATCATAAAACATAATAAAACCTGGACTTATTGTTTAAAATTATTAGTTTCAAAACGCCAATCTGCCTTGAGTTAGCGTGATGATTAATGATCTAACCCTCTCCGTGTCAGAAGAGGCCTATGCTCAGCTGTGGGCACTGGGGCATATGATGATGTGATATGAAAAAGAAGTCGATTTTTTATAGAAAGTACTTAAACGTTGTTAATATTTATCCAGGCGTGATTAATTTACAAGATACACATTTCCTAGACAAAATGATCCTTAAATAATATCTACGGCAATATTTTTGAATTAAATGTCTAATATTCTACATAGCTAAACTAAAATCATATTTAACTCAATACGCAAATAAAAAATTCAAAAAAATTCAATAAGCAAATTAAAAATTCAATAAATATGTTCGCTTATAACTTGTAACCTAGCTAAACCCGTCAGCTCCAAGCGCTGGCTTAAATAATAACTTCCCCCCAGTTCGCTCTAAGAGGAAATAGTGGCCCATACTTGTATGGGATTACCTAAATCGACGATATGACCTCCGGAAGACTGTTTTGAGGAATTGCGTTCAATTAGTTTCCTCGCCATTACTATTTTATTATTGCAGTTCACGAACTTTCCTCCAATCCCTAAATCAACAAATGCCTTATCCCCAAAAGGTCGGCAACGCACTCGTAACGTCTTTGCTGTTGCGGGTTTTCATGGGCGGCTCTGATTGCTTACCACCAGTCTGCTCGTTTGCCGACCTATCATATAAATATCAGATACATTTAGGTTTATTTTTAGTTTTAACAAATTTATGGAATTCGTCTTTTTTGTGCAACGAATTCAACAATACAGTGCTGAAAATAAATATCATCCATTTTAGAAATATTGTCGTAGGTATTTTGCCATCCCTTCTCAATCTCTAAATTTCTAAATCCCCTTATCCTCAAAAGACCAACAATGCAATTGCAAAACCTATGGTGCGGCCGATTTATAATAAAAAAAAATTAAAAGAAGAAAGAAGAACGAATCCTAATAAGATTAATAGAATCATGATTATCGTAAAGTTTTTAAAACTTTATTAAAAAAACCCAATAAAAAAGAAAGTTCAAAGTAATCAAAAAAATTAAGCCAACTAAGACCTTAATTAATGATCTTAAGGCGATATTAAAGTAAAACTTAGACTACACCGAACAATTTAGATATTATGTAATTAATTGATTCAATTATCTATTTGAGAACTTCAAAGACTCGAAGATATATTCTTTTTATCTTAACAAATTAAAAGTGTACTTCAGAACTATTAATTAGTGCTTTTACTGCGTAGCCAACTTGTAATTTGCCAGAGTTAGAATGAATCGTGTACCCAATGACTTGCATTTCTTTTTTCAATATATTTCGTTACTTGATCTATTCAAAAATAAATTATTTGAAACATGAAATAAAACATCACTACATAGTATAAAATAAAGTCGCTTATAAAATAAAATCTTTAAAATTACGCAACGCATTCTGATGCATTCTTTCGTATAAGATAGAGTTATTGAAGAGAAAGGTTTATATGTTTAATAACATCCATAAAATAGTGGAGAAATTTTGTAGCATCAGTGCACCCGAGCTTAGTCGTTACACTCTTGGCAGAGTGGTCGTAGCTGTTGGTGGATGGGCTGTGCAATACCGTCGTTCTTCCTCTCTAGCACGTTGAGCGATTTCTCTCCACTTTTGTCGACTTTCAGCGTTGCATGTACACTGTTCTGCGGTCGACATTGTAGTTTTTTTGAATCAGGTCGATCCAGCGAGTCGGAGACCAGTCTCGTGGTCTCGAGTATAGATAGAGTCCACTTCCAGATATATTAATATTAACTTTATTCGTTTTTACAAGCTAACATAAAAAAATACCATGACACATGAAATGTATATTATTTTATTGTGAGTGGGTACTCACAATAAAATAATATACATTTTTCAATATACATTTTTTTTTATGGTATAAGTCGGTAAATGAGCAGACGGATTACCTGATGGTAAGCAATCGGCGCCGCCCATGGACACCCGCGACACCAAAGGTGTTACGAGTGCGTTGCCGGCAATTTGGGGATGGGGGTTGCGGATATAAGGATTGGGAAGGGATAGGGGAAGGGGGGGGATTGGGCCTCCGGTAACCTCACTCAAACACTCGAAACACAACGCTGTGGGTTGTTTCACGCCGGTATTCTGTGAGGCCGTGGTATCACTCCGGTCGAGCCGACCCATTCGTGCCGAAGCTTGGCTCTCCCACACTTAAACAATATCAATTTTTACACTTAATAATACATTATATTTTTTTCAATTAAAGCAACTCGAAAGTTGCCAACTACACATATTGTAATTTTTTTCTAGTAAAACTAGCAGACGAAAGATCGGACGGTAAATAAAAAAGTGATTGACACTGACCCATGAACAATCGGAACCCTAGAGATATTATTTTAAGTGCATTACTTACTATAAATGCATAGATTACAATATCATCAGCCTATAAGTACTTATTGCTAAGAAAAGGCCTCTTCTCACACGGAAGGATTAATCACCACCCTTATTCAAGGCATATTAGTAATTTCTAACACTTAACGCTTACCTAATTTGATAGATACACGATGACAATAAAAAATATTTACTCAATCTGTAAGACAAAATATACATATAAGACGCGACATAAACATATATTTTTATATGTCGTGTAATTATACAATCCTAAGATTAAAAAAAAATCATGTTTGGAATAAAATGAACTAAATTGTATCATCACATGATAATTCAAATCATTTTTTTATGTAGTAGATCGGCGAACGAGCAGATGGATTACCTGATGGTAAGCAATCAGCGCCGCACATGGACACCCGCAACGCATGCGTTGCCGACCTTTTAGGGATTAGGGTTTTGGAGATTACGGGATTGGGGAGGGATAGGGGAGGGGAAAGATTGGGCCTCCGGTTACCTCGCTCACATGGCGAAACACAACGAAACAACGCTGTGGTTGTTTCGCGCCGGTTTTCTGTGAGGATATACAAAAGGATAGACATCAATCTTACTAATATCAACTTTTAAACTAGCACATAAAACTTGGCCCTAAAACTTTTACTAGTCTATAAGAATAAGTAATTTCGTTTGACAATACTAGACTAACTTAATTAGCAGATCTGACCACGACAACATAACGTTCGAAGTGGCTTACTATCTTATTACATTACTACCTAATGGAAAACACTTATTGCCTGCAAACTGAATCAAAGAATACTAGCTCCAGCTTGTTATTGAGTTTCTCTAGCGAAGCAGAAAATACTCTATAAAAGTAGGTACTTACATTCAGCTAAGAATCTTAACTGTTTGGTGGTATGATGCGGTAGAATTTTATTTTATTGTGTTTGTACATTTTGATTTGTTTCGTTTCATGAAATGGTTTAGTTAAGTGTAAGGGCAGATTATTTAGTATGCGTAACGTATATAAGTATAAGATCTGGACTAATATTATAAAGAGGTAAAATTTGTAAGTTTGTATGCATAGAGGGTAATCTTTGGAACCGCTGATCGGATTGCCAAAATTCTTTTACTGATAGATAGCTACATGTACATGTTCCTTTGTGCTATAGGTTATAAAACATCACGCTACGATTAAATGGAGCTGAGCAGCGGGTGAAACGGCGCTAGAGTAGCTGGTGTAGTAATAAATTCGATTATAAATATTTGGCGCAAAAAATCTAATTTCATAACTCATAATTATGCATCCTAGTTTTATGGACTAAATATTGTATCAAATTTTTAAAATAGAGATCACCATGGTTTTATTGTAAGAAGTTGTAATGACTACTAAATGCCTATTGCAATAACATCTAAATATATTAAAGGAGAAACTGACTGACTGACCTATCAATGCATAGCTTAAACGTCGGCACTTGAGCTTGGTAGGGATGTAGGTTACCGTAGATGGGCAGTAAGAAAGGAACGCGAATTAGCGGGAAAATTCTTGTATATGAAAAATCTAAACATCTTAAGTTAGACGTTTGAAATTTGGCATGCAAGTACCTTAATAAACTTAAAGTTTAATTGCAAAAGAATATTGCAATATTCACACGGAAACGGGACAATAGTGTTTAAAAAATACGCGTACGAAACCGCGGGCGGAAGCTAGTATTAAGCTGATATTATAAAAGGCATTCAACATAACAGACTTATATTCCACAGCGCTAATTGATGCTACAGGTAAAACAAATGCAACGAGCAATGCGTCCATAAGAGTGTCAAAAAAATAAGTTAATAAATTATTCTTAGTTTTTATATCAAGCCAAAACATAAAACCTGTTTAAAATAAAAGCTCATTTGCAGACACATGTAAATGGCTAACGAAAAGAACATTAAAAAAAGCGAGTCTAAAAGTTAGGCTACCTTTAAAAACTAAATAGAACTGGGTCATTTTGAATACACTGCAAATGAACTACGTGTTTGCAAATGTAAAAACGTCGACGTTGCACCACTCTTCGTATAGTGGGTTGCACAAAAACTGTGCACGAATTAAAACAATTATGGAAACTTCTGCCGTGTATCGTTTGTGAGTGGGATTTTTACGTGTAATATAATGCTTTGTGGATTTCTTTTTTAGAATTAATTATTCTTTGTAAGGTTTTACCTAAGTATTATTCATTGATATTTCTTAATCCAATTCAATGGTTTTATTAATTATTTTAGGAATTTATTGCTATTATCTGCTTCTGTGGTTTTGTCAGACACTATTGCACGATTGCACAGTTGACGCAGTGTCTGAGTAACTGACTTTTTTTGAGTGGGTAACATAATAATATTCAAATGACGAGAGGAATGGTAATTTTCTGACTAAAACTAATTAACTTTTATTAACTAAAAAACACCCCATACCTTCTCCTGCTCCGGGCCGGGATCACGGTACCTTATTGTGCTTACTTCCGCAGACCCACGAACTGAGTAACCAGTTACCGTGCAACGTGTCCCGATTCCCGCACGCCACAACAACAACTCTTTGTGTCATCCACCAATTTTGTTCCAGTTGTTTGTGTGTTAAAGCACAGAGCTGAGACATGGTCACTTACGAAGGATGCGACGACTGCTTCAGCGATACCCGCCCCTCCGACACATGGGTAATTGGAAGAACACAGGGTTGGTTTTTGTCAGTAAGAGTCTGACAGTACCATTAGCCTTTCCCCGAGGGCGGTGGGTCTCCATTAGGAATTTCCAACTAGACACTAAAAAAAATGGTCACTTACGAAAGAGCTGAACATCGAGCTCAGTGGCATGCAATAGGGAAGGCTTATGTCCAGCAGTGGACGAAATCAGGCTGATGATGATGATGATGATGATGATGTTTGTAAACGCAACCACGATATAGGAGACATTCGTACGAGGGTGATATTTCAAACAAAATTCAGTAAAGCAACCATACAAACATACTACACTATATCCCCATTAATTAAGGAATCTACTACCAAATATCTTCTAACAAGCAAAGGAGACCTTTAGCCTTCTAACTATACGTCGACGTCTAGAGTACCTACAGTACACACGAGGAACACGTTACATACATATAGTTTAATCCTGTTCCGCTTGAAACGAGACTGTCTCATACATGACGTAGTGAAAGCTGCAAGGCAAGTGCGGATATGCGTGCTATTGTGTCTTAGATCATGTGTATAGTTGCGTTTTGTCGTGCGATTTTGAGTGGCGTAATTTTTTGGATTGGTTTGATGTCTGGTAGTTGAAGTTTTAAATTGATGATAATAATAATAATACATTAATTTTCCTATTTCAGCTGACACAAAGTGAAGGAAACCATTAGAGAAAATCTGGACCTTATAGTTTTTATTACAAGTGCGCAAGTGCCAATCTGCTTTAAACAAGCGTGGCGATCAATGCTCAAATTTTCTATATGTAAGAAGAAGCCTCAATAGTTAGCAATAGGCTGATGATCATGTGATACCATTTTTTTATGTTATAGGTCGGCAAACGAGCCGACAGATTACCTGATGGTAAGTAATCAGCGCCGCCCATGGACACCCGCAACAGCGCGAAGGAGTTACGAGTGCGTTGCCGACCTCTTAGGGATTAGGGATTTGGAGATTTAGGCATTGAGGAGAGATTGGGGGTGGGGAAGGATTGGGCCTCCGGTAACCTCACTCACACGGCGAAACACAACGCTGTGGTTGTTTCACGCCAGTTTTCAGTGAGGCCGTGGTATCTTCCGGTCGAGCCGACCCATTCGTGCCGAAGCATGGCTCTCCCACACTTACATGTACAATTCAGACTAAATACTGCCCAATCATCTATTGTTAGTACCGTAAAAAAGGATGAATACGACTTGAAGGGTGAATAGATACAGAAGAAGGATAAATAGAAATATCGTGGAAGGTGTTAAAATTGTAAGTGTGCGCCAACACTCATAACACTGTGCATTACGCCATTGTATCATATTCCAAGAATAAACGTTAGAACGCGATGAGAAATCATGTTACTGACTCACCTTACTTAGGGAATCTAGATCTTACGTGCTATATTAACATGGCTTAGCGATTGTTACTACTTAAAGGAATATTCCAAGTTGTACCTACAAGTAAACATTCACTTTTTGCTGTTATAACTGTTACACTAAAGTGAGAAAAGGAATAATGATAGGGTTCGAAATTCAAAAATCAAATTGGTTTGACAACTGGGTAAAGAGAAAATGTAAGACAAAATCATATATTTTTTAAATAAAACATTGCGTAGGTGAAATTAATTTAAATTCAGAAATGGAAGATCACTAAATCATCTCTAAGCATACAATACGACCGGAGTGATACCACGGCCTCACAGAAAACCGGCGTGAAACAACCACAGCGTTGTGTTTCGCCGCGTGATTGAGGTTACCGAAGGCCCGATCTTTCCCCTCCCCGATCCTTCCCCAATCCCTAAATTTCCAAAACCCTCCTTTTTTTTTTTATTTCCCTAATCCTTTGATTACCATTAGGTAATCCGTATGTCATTTGTTAAAAAAAACGTTTCACAGTACAAACAAAAGGGAACGATTATTTAATTTAAAATCCTTAAAAATGATACAGTTTCAATATTCGCCAATTCATATAAATATATTATACATTTTGACCAAAGTACAGCCGGCCGTCCGGAATGCAAGTTTCTGCTCGAAAACGCTCGGTTCATTTACAAATGATGGCAATTATGACGTGGTCAACAGCCCGATGTTTCAATAAATATTA